TTTCCCATCAAAATTGGTAAGGTAGATGTAGGTCTTACATGCAAATTTGTATTGTAAGCCAGATTTGGAAGAATATTTTCTGAAACAAAGACAAAAGGTTAAATAGGTCAACACCTGGCCTGTGAACAATGGCAAGTGTTTTGAGGGGGGTTCTTAAGACAATTGATTAGAAATTCGTGGAATTCTGCCTTGTCTTAACGGTGACTTCCTTTTTCATTTCTGGTTCATTTATTTAAACTTGCAAATAAATAAATAAATGATTCACCCTTTTTCTATACTGAAGCCTTATCTGATGGACTTAAAATACAATTATTCAAGCATTATTTGAACTTAAAAAATATCTAATTTAGGTTACTCCTTTTCAATGTTAATTATTTGATATTTTTAGAATTATCTTAAAAAATTATCTCTTTTTTTTTTATTTTAATTGTGAAAGGGAAGACCCCATTACGTGTTGAACGAGTGAAGCGTGATTTTAGGGTGATTTTATATTGTTTAGAAGAGTTTTTCTATGTTTAATATCGATATTTTATACAAGGGGAGACTCTATCACTTGTTAAACTTAAGCTACTTGGTTCCTTCGAATTAAACTTAGAAATTTAGAAACAAATATGTGATTTATTTAAGTATAAGAATGTACAGAATTCACCGAATAATTCCCCTCCAGCTAGAGTTGCCCCTCTAGCTTATACAGTGGCTCCCTACTCCCCCTCAATATGGATGTGTTGTTGCTCCTATAGTCTATGCAGGAATGAAACAATTTAATAATCTTTAAAGTGATATATTTTTTATGCGATTTATGTTGCATAAAACACTACCAATAAGATATTTTTTAGAATATTCTTAAAAGAATTTTATTAATTTGTTGAGGGGAGTGTTAAATTAGCATAAAGTAAGAAAGGGTTTAGTGTGAGAACAGTGTTTAATAAGATGACTTTTTTTAATTTTATGGCTGTTTTTTTGTAAGATTAAACATCTAAAAACCCTTCTGTATAATACAATTTTAATATTTTATACAAGGGGATGCTCAATTACGTGTTAAACAACAGCAAACTTAAGCTAATTTAACAGCAAAACAAACTTGGTTCCATAAGAACACGTGAACAGATATAAAGAAACAAACTTATATTATTTCTTAGAATATTCTAAAGAGGATTATTCTAAGAAATATTCTTAGAACGTGTTCAATCAGGTGTTAAATCTTTTAAATTCGTGTTTAAGAAAAGGGGTAAAATGTTTCGGCTGCTTTCATGGACTTTATATGTTATTGAACGTCTAAATAATTTATTTCTTATAATATTTTTCATCCAAAAAAATGTAAATTTTTAAGGAAGGGAATGCTCATTCGCATGTTAAATTCCTCTAAAACTTTATGCAAATTTAGTGGTAAACCTATACTTTAAAATGCAAATTTTTTACTACTTTATGCAACGTTAAATGGCTTATAAAATGCTATTATTTTTTTAGTTAAATTTGGAAGAGTTTAACATTAAAAATACACACTAAAATCGGATTTTATGTAATATTTAACATCTTTTACCACAAACCACGTGTTAGAATAGCATAGACTTAAGGATTTAATGGTGAAAAATTTCATTTTGTAAGCACAATTGTTGTGTTAAAACCCCCTAATTCTAGGCTAATTTAACGGGTAAGAAATAGCATTTTATATGTAGAATTTTCTATGTTTTAACCTCTTTAATATATCCGAAAAAATCATTATTTCTTCCATAAACCACGTGTTAAAAACTTTAAAATTTATGCGAATTTAACGTTAAAAAACCGAGCATTACAGGTGAAGTTTTGGAGGTTTTTTAGAGGTATTTCTGCCGCTTTAAACTACTAAAAAAAACCCCTTCCGAAGTAAAGTTAAAGATAGAAATATTTTTATTTTTAGTGATATTTTCAGACAAAATAATAATTAATAAATCTGAAAACAGTCCAAGTGGAACGATTCTTGTCTGATTTTTGTTAGACGATCTGATGTAGGAAACGTCTTGTTTTGTTTGATGGTTCCTTTTTATATTTATTTCCTCCTTTATTTTTTTCCTTTTAAAAAAAATAAATAAATAATAATAAACTTAAAGATTGTTTAAAGAATTTAGAACTAAAATAAATGAAAATTTTATCCTTCTTGTTTTTATTTTTTTAAGTCAAAAAATAATAAAAATAGACACAGTTTCTTTCGAATGTATGTGAACTTGAGTGTATAATGTCTCTATATCATGGGAAAAAATCCTCAATTTTTTCCTCTAGGGCCTAGAAAATTGAAGGCCCTATCGGCTATTACAAGACGTTGTATGCATTACAAGACCTTATTAAAGTCTTCATAAAATCTCTAAGTATGGAAGGTAGAGATAGGCATATGAGGCCTTTATATAGAGTAAGGCCTTCTAGTTAACCTATAATTATAGAGTCGTATGATAGCTTTAAAAAATTCGTTTACTAGTGAGGCTATTTAGATCGTTTTTTACCTTTTAGAAGGCCTTATAAATAGTTTCAGGAGCGTTTTTCTACCATGTATAGGGCCTACAAAACCTTTAAAATGGTCTTAGAAGTTAAAAGACTCCTTACTGGTACAAAGAGGCCTTTTAATTAACCATACACGTGGTATCGAAAAAGATCTCTGTGTGTTTCGTAGGGCCTTATGTTATTAGATCTTAAAGATAGGTTAAAAATAAAAGGGCATCAAATCTAGAAAATCTTGCATATCTAAGGCCTGTTATATATCAATTGTTGCTAGAATAGCTTGTAGGTAGACTTAAATTGCAACATGAGGCCTCGAAAAGCCCGCTTGTATTGTTAGAAGGTTTTACATTTTATAGAAACACGTGAGATTTATATCTAAAAAGATCACGAGATAGAAGGCCTTAGAATTAGATTGTTATATCGACAATATAAATAGGTAGTCTAATGTAATTTTGAGGCCTCGTAAATATACTTTATAGAAACTTAGGGCTTGTTTGGAACATTTCATAGCCGTTGAACGTTCGTGTAACGTAAATAGCTAGAGGTCTTTTTACTTAGAGGACACCCCAAAGAGTTTCCTGTTATTTAGAAAGGCTCCTTACAAATAAATAAAGTTTTAAATAGAATTTTTAACATTGAGGCATTGTTAAACCTATAGAACGTTTTACCACCCCATAAATTATATTTACTAGTACCTCGCAAATAAATTAATAGCTGCTAAGTGTTTGTCTCTTTAGTTATTTATAAAGTGTTTATTAAGAGACAAATATCAAAAAATGTCTCTTACAATTAAGCCACGTGTTGTTAGACTATTTCATAAGGCCTACGAAGGCCCTAGTGTACTGTTAAAGCCTATTTATATGAAAAAAGCTTTACAATTAGACTCTTTATAGCTACTCTCGGCACACTTATAAGGGCCTATAAGGTCCTATCTGAGACGTTGACAAGCCTCTAGAACGTGCTACAACCCAAATCATTTAGGTCTCATATAATTATATAGTTTTATAGAAACTGCTCTTATTAATAAGCCACGTGTTGTTAGACTAATTTATAAGGCCTAAGAGGGCCCTATACAACTAAATCTCTATTTATATATGAAAAAAAAGAAGATTTACAATTAGCTTTTTTCATAGCTGCTCTATACGGCCTCTAAGACACGGGTAGGNCTCATTATGATACATGTTTGCCGAGAGGATGGTTGAGATAATTAACGATGGTTTAATGAAGTGTTATGTTGACATTCACTGGGGTGACAAGTTGACACGTGACAAACACTGAAGCTAATTCCCGCATCATTCCCGCCAAGTTTCCAACATATATTTAGACTTATTTATTTATTTCTTTTTTTTTTATACTTATATAGTAAATTGTTGAATTGATTGTTTGATCACAGTTAAAGGTGTTTGGATGGAAGAGCTTCACGCTGCAACATCATCAGTCATCTGGTAGAAAGAGCATCGCACACGGCGTGACAAATGACATTTTTCACTGTTCACGAGAGCAACAGCTGATTCCTTTGATTAATAGGTCCTTCTACATTCTGGAACAGCGCGGATTTCCCACAATCCACAGCACACTTTCCGGGGGCATGCGTAGTAAAATAGGAAACCAGCTGTCGCTTGGATGAATAATGAAATAATTTTGCAAATCAGAAACTCTTTTTAGTTTCTCTCTCTCTCTCTCTCTCTCACTGGCTGACTGTCAGATGCATCTGGAAACTGCGCTTTTCCTCGTGCTTGAATATTCAGTGCCTTGGACGACGAATCTTCACCAGCTGATGTCACCATTCTACTGAAAAATTCCTTCTTAAAAATCTAACTTTCATAATTTAACTTTGCGATTTTTATCCCTCTCCTCCTCCTCTTCCTTCTTTTATTTTTTTTTCGGGTCCTTTCGTTTGTTTTTATAAATGAAACTGTCGAAGATTTCTACCCTTTATTATTATTATTATTATTATTATTAAATTGGTTTAATGATTAGTGTTTTGAAGTTTTTAGCGCATTATCATGTTCAAAAACTGCATAATTCTGTTAAAATTTGCACGTGTAGTGTTTAAATTAATTAGTTTAATTATTCGTCGATTTCAGTGCTTAATTGTGTTTAATTTATCTGTTTAAATAGTTAATTATGTTTAAATATGTCTGTTTCATCTCTTAATTGCGTTTATATGTTGTTTTCATTGTTTAACTCGCTTGAAATTTGTTAGTTTCAGCACGTGTGTTTAAATTTAATCGGTTTCGCCATTTAATTGTGTTTAAATTTAATCGGTTTCAGCAGTTAATTTCATTTAAATTGAAATCATTTTTTTCAACAATTAATTTAAATTTTTTTAATCGCTTTCAAGAATTAAATCGATTTTTTTTTCTAGTTGATTTTTCTTATTTTTCAGGATATAGAATCAATTCTTTAACTTTTATTTATACGTAAGCAAGTCATTCTAGAGTTTATATTAATATATATTGTTTTCCCCCCCACTTTTAGGTAAAAAAAAACGGTCAAGAACGGCTTTCAGTAGCCATCAGTTATTAACAATGGAAAAAAGATTCAGCGTTAATCAATACATAAGTACTCCAGAGAAAAAGATATTGGCACGAGAACTAAATCTTGACCCCGAAAGAATTAAAGTCTGGTTCCAAAACAGGAGGATGAAATACAAAAAATGGAAGACGAGCATGAGCACGAGCACGAGCCCTGATAAGTCAGAAGCTGGCCCCTCCTCCTCCTCCTGCTTCCTAGTTCCTGTTTCCAATTCAACTGCATCCCCCGTCGACAGTGTGGCGACGATGGGGCCATCCTGCAATTTTTTCGAGAATATTCAAGTGGCAACATCATCTGAGATTAGTTGGGTTAGAGGATATACTTGGGCCTACCAAAATCAAGCGCCTCCATACCAATCTTTCACCCAGCTAAGACCATTAAATCATCAAACAATCGTGTACAACAATAACTGCGGAGGAAACAATACGCCTATATATACCAACGCACCAGTTACTAGGCCAAGCTGCTGTTATTCCAATCAAACAGCAGCTCCTATATTTGATTATAGGCAAATAAATGGGCAACTGCAAAATTTAAATAGTCAGTTGCCCATTTATACTAGTCAATCACTTCAGGTACAACAGCAGCAGCAGCAACAACAATTATTCCAAGAAAATTATATAATAAATGATGAAAACCGATCACCTCACCTCAATGATTTATCATTTAATCAGCAACATTTCCAAGAAAATCTTACTAATGATGAAATGAATGCATCATTTGATTGGTTAGTCAGCACAGGGTATTACAGAAACAACCCACCTCCACCCCTAAGACATATATGAAGATTTTTGGAGATTTAGAATATATATATATANTAATCACTATGGAGATTGAGAGCATTGATCTCCTTGCAGGATCAAGGAATGTAGATTCCTAAGCATTCAAAATATTCACAAGAAGCTCTCTCTATCTGTATACTTTTATTTTTCACTTTTAAAAAATATAATGTAGCCTTTTTTTATTATAGCCTTTTAAGTTTTGTAGTTGAATTTTATTGATAATTTTTCTATATTTAAAGGTACTGCTGACTTCTTAAATTGTATAAGTTTCGAAATGGGAGATGACAAAATATAAAAACTTGCATAATATTAGGTGAAAACTGTCTATAAATTACTTGTAACTTATCATTATGTATGATTCTAAAGAATATATTAAATCCTTTCTTAAAATTTAATACTGCTAGCAATACATATTCTTGCAGGTTTACCAAATAAAGTTGTGTTTCAGCTTTATGCCCACCGGAGATATATTCATTGTGTCGAATGAAACTCGTGTGCACTGTAGAAATATATCTCTGAGAAGGGAATAGAGCCGAAATATGCAACCCTATTTGCTAAAGATGCAAGAATACATACTCCTAGCAATACATATTCTTTTAGGACTACTCTAAATATTTATTTAAAGAGAACTCTAGTTCTAAAAATTAATTCTATGTGATGTTTTCACAGAAAACATCACGTAGAGTTGATCTATGTGATGTTTTCTGTGAAAATATCACATAGAATCAATGCTAAGCTCAATAGAATTGTAAGCATAAAGGGGTATGTGCAATATTTGTCATCATCATTGAGCAATTTTTCCTGTTATTGTTATTTCTGGTGAAAATATAACCGAAGCTTTGTTATATCTTCATCAGAAAATGTAAAAAGAAAAGATTTTAAATAATCCTAAAAACTATTTAAAACACTAAAAAAGTACAAATAAACTGCAAGATTTCATCCAAAAAATCTAAATTATTGGTAAAATACATAATGTTTAACATATTTCCAACACACACAAATATCCTAAACTCTTAAAAGGATTGTTACAACCTTCAAACAGTACACTTCTTACTCCATTGCAAATTTACAAGGGTCATTTAAACCTAATTTATTTATATTATCATTGAATTAAACCACTTCTAACATTCCAAACTTGAAAATATTTTGAAAATTCTTGACCCATTTCCTTATCTTTCAAAATATTAGAGTTTTTGTGAAGAGGTTTGCTTATTTTGTCTTTCAAGAAAGCTTAACTCTTTCAATATACTTTATCTGATAAAGTATTATTTAAATTGTAAAGAGAAATTTTAAGTTTTTTTTTTAATGTTTAAACCTTGTTGATAATGTAAAAAAAAGATCCGAAATGTATAATTTTTAAACTAGGTATGTGCCAGTTGCGCTGCGCAGCCTACTACCGCAATGATGTAAGAGTGCCTTTAACGGAATTATACTGTAATATCTCAATTGTGTTGGTAATTTTAATGTTTGGATGACATTTTAACCTGTTTTTTTATGAGAGAAAGTGTGCATATGTAAATAAACAGTCAAAAATCCTGTTTTTAATGTTATTGTTACATATTTGAAAAATTTTATGGAATATACAGGGTATAAAATAAGTATAAAATGCCTTTTTATATGGAAAAATATATGTAATTTCTAATTTGTCATCTTTATTGTCCATNGAATAATTCCCCTCCAGCTAGAGTTGCCCCTCTAGCTTATACAGTGGCTCCCTACTCCCCCTCAATATGGATGTGTTGCTGCTCCTATAGCCTATACAGGAATGAAACAATTAATAATCTTTAAAGGGATATATTTTTATGCGACTTATGTTGCATAAAACACTACCAATAAGATATTTTTTAGAATATTCTTAAAAGAATTTTATTAGTTTGTGGAGGGGAGTGTTAAATTAGAATAAAGTAAGAAAGGGTTTAGTGTGAGAACAGTGTTTAATAAGATGACTTTTTTTAATTTTCATGTTGTTTTTTTGTAAGATTAAACATCTAAAAACCCTTCTGGTTAATACAATTTCAATATTTTATACAAGGAGATGCTCAATTACGTGTTAAACACCAGCAAACTTAAGCTAATTTAACAGCAAAACAAACTTGTCTCCATAAGAACACGTGAACGGATATAAAGAAACAAACTTATAGTATTTTTCAGAATATTCTAAAGAGGATTATTGTAAGAAATATTCTTAGATCGTGTTCAATCAGATGTTAAATCTTGTAAATTCGTGCTTAAGCAAAGGGGTAAAATGTTTCGGCTGTTTTCGTGGACTTTATATGTTATTGAACGTCTAAATAATTTATTTCTTATAATATTTTTCATCCAAAAAAATGTAAATTTTTAAGGAAGGGAATGCTCATTCGCATGTTAAATTCCTCTAAAACTTTATGCAAATTTAGAGGTAAACCTATACTTTAAATGCAAATTTTTACTACTTTATGCAACGTTAAATGGCTTATAAAATACTTTTTTTTTCGTTATATTTGGAAGAGTTTAGTAAAAATACATACTAAAATCGGATATTTTGTAAAAAAAATAACTATACGAACATTTACCATAAACCACTTGTTAGATTAGCATAGACTTAAGGATTTAATGGTGAAAAATTTCATTTTGTAAGCAGATTGTTGTGTTAAAACCCCCTAATTCTAGGCTAATTTAACGTGTAAAAAATAGTATTTTTATATGTAGAATTTTCTACGTTTTAACCTCTTTAATATACTCGAAAAAATCATTAAATATTTCTTCCATAAACCGCGTGTTAAAAACTCTAAAATTTATGCAAATTTTACGTTAAAAAACCGAGCATTACAGGTGAAGTTTTGGAGCTTTTTTTAAAGGTATTTCTCCCGCTTTAAACTACTAAAAAACCCTTCCGAAGTAAAGTTAAAGATAGAAATATTTTTATTTTTAGTGATATTTTCAGACAAAATAATAATTAATAAATCTAAAAACAGTCCAAATGGAACGATTCTTGGCTGATTTTTGTTAGACGATCTGATGTAGGAAACGTCTTGTTTTGTTTGATGGTTCCATTTTATATTTATTTCCTCCTTTCTTTTTCCTTTTAAAAAAATAAAAATAAAAAATAAATTTAAAGATTGTTTAAAGAATTTAGAACTAAAATAAATGAAAATTTTATCCTTCTTGTTTTTATTTTTTTAAGTCAAAAAATAATAAAAATAGACACAGTTTCTTTCGAATGTATGTGAACTTGAGTGTATAATGTCTCTATATCATGGGAAAAAATCCTCAATTTTTTCCTCTAGGGCCTAGAAAATTGAAGGCCCTATCGGCTATTACAAGACGTTGTATGCATTACAAGACCTTATTAAAGTCTTCATAAAATCTCTAAGTATGGAAGGTAGAGATAGGCATATGAGGCCTTTATATAGAGTAAGGCCTTCTAGTTAACCTATAATTATAGAGTCGTATGATAGCTTTAAAAAATTCGTTTACTAGTGAGGCTATTTAGATCGTTTTTTACCTTTTAGAAGGCCTTATAAATAGTTTCAGGAGCGTTTTTCTACCATGTATAGGGCCTACAAAACCTTTAAAATGGTCTTAGAAGTTAAAAGACTCCTTACTGGTACAAAGAGGCCTTTTAATTAACCATACACGTGGTATCGAAAAAGATCTCTGTGTGTTTCGTAGGGCCTTATGTTATTAGATCTTAAAGATAGGTTAAAAATAAAAGGGCATCAAATCTAGAAAATCTTGCATATCTAAGGCCTGTTATATATCAATTGTTGCTAGAATAGCTTGTAGGTAGACTTAAATTGCAACATGAGGCCTCGAAAAGCCCGCTTGTATTGTTAGAAGGTTTTACATTTTATAGAAACACGTGAGATTTATATCTAAAAAGATCACGAGATAGAAGGCCTTAGAATTAGATTGTTATATCGACAATATAAATAGGTAGTCTAATGTAATTTTGAGGCCTCGTAAATATACTTTATAGAAACTTAGGGCTTGTTTGGAACATTTCATAGCCGTTGAACGTTCGTGTAACGTAAATAGCTAGAGGTCTTTTTACTTAGAGGACACCCCAAAGAGTTTCCTGTTATTTAGAAAGGCTCCTTACAAATAAATAAAGTTTTAAATAGAATTTTTAACATTGAGGCATTGTTAAACCTATAGAACGTTTTACCACCCCATAAATTATATTTACTAGTACCTCGCAAATAAATTAATAGCTGCTAAGTGTTTGTCTCTTTAGTTATTTATAAAGTGTTTATTAAGAGACAAATATCAAAAAATGTCTCTTACAATTAAGCCACGTGTTGTTAGACTATTTCATAAGGCCTACGAAGGCNTTTTTCCCGCGAGTTTTAATAGAATTTGTTGCCAATAAACATCAGTGGCGTAATAATAAACCCAATGACGTAGCGAACATAACTGCACTCGGGCCGCGACACTATATTGGCACCCCCTCCCCCTCCAGAAACAAATTTTGTTATTCTTGGAAACCATTAGGCTCCCCTCTGCCAGTGGCGCCCGGGGCAAGCTGCCCCACCCTCTGCTGAGAGGTTTTCTTCGTTTTTGGGTGATAGAAAATTCGGAAGTTCTTCAAGGCGAGGCAGCCTCAAAGGATTAACCCATGGTGTATAGCAGCCTTTACTGGTACAAAGAGGCCTCCTAATTAACCATCTCTAATTATATATACACGTGGTATCGAAAAAGATCTCTGTGTTTCGTGAGGCCTTATGTTATTAGATCTTAAAGATAGGTTAAAATTAAAAGGGCATTAAATCTAGAAAATCTCCTTGCATATCTAAGGCCTGTTATAAATCAACTGTTGCTAGAATAGCTTATAAGTAGACTTAAATTGCAACATGAGGCCTCGAAAGGCCCGCTTGTATTGTTAGAAGGTTTTACATTTTATAGAAACACGTGAGATTTATATCTAAAAAGATCACGAGATAGAAGGCCTTAGAATTAGATTGTTATATCGAGAATATAAATAGGTAGTCTAATGTAATTTTGAGGCCTGGAAAGAAACTTAG